CTGGGATCCCAGAACATAAAAATTATCACTCTCTCCTTTATTGCATCCCTGTATTATCCGCGTCCCTCTCAGCCATAGCAGCTGACTGACATCCACCCTCTCAAGAGGACATGTATGGATAGAAGACCTGGCTCACAAGCACTGCTCTATGAAAAGGGCAGATAGTTATGTAAGAATTTTGCAAAAACTTGAGAAATTAAAATAAGAGAGACTATGAATGCAAAAACATTAACTGTCAAGCAAGTAAGAGCTGATTCAAAGAATTCTTTTAAAAGATACGCTCCACATAACTGAAAGCATGAGGAAGACTGGCAGATGACAGCATCACAGCGAGTTTCCTAAATAACTGAGGCGGTGACTGGGAAAACTGAGCCACCTACCAAAACAGCTTTACAGAGCCAATGCATCTCATTTGTTGTAGAAGAAGATGAGTTCTAGAACTCTTATTTACTATGGAGTTTTCAAATACATTCAACAGCACTTCATGTTTTCCTCAATCCCAAGCTTCTTGTAAAACTTTGACCTTGCCAACCATGACACCTTAGAGGCAGATAAAAGCTTACCTACTTTATGGAATTTCAGATTTCTAAAAATAGCACATGCAGTACAGGGAATGCACCCAGTGTGCTTGTGGATGCAATAAAGGCCACTACTATACCTTCAAGCAGGCTTCCTTGACTTCAGCTCTCCTGACATTTGGGGCTGTCCTATGCATTGCAATATGTGGAGCAGCATTTCTAGTGTCTGTACGCTAAAGGCCAGTAGCACCCTTTCCCCCTTTCCCAAAGCAAAACAGTAAAAAAATTATCATTCTGGAAAGGAAATCCACAGTGGACACCCACAAAGCTTCCTGATCTCAAAATATGCCACTTTATTCCATATGTAGGTTTTGAGTTTCTGGAACAGTTATATTATCCTTACAACAATCCCATGAGGTAGAAAAGCTACTGACAAGATGCCTGTCATCATATTTATCAATGGTAATGCCACCAAAGGCTAAAGTTTCATTTTAAATTCCCTTATACCTTCAAAATCAACCGAATTTATTTTGAAAAAAAAAATATGGTCTTCTTTATTAAAAATAACAACACACATACACAGAGGTAAAGAAGCAGTATACTTTTAAAGCTACATAGTTTTGAAATCAAGCTGACTCTATAAAGCAGCTGTTCCATGGGGCTAAGCGGTAGTGAGGAACTGTGGATCCTGAGCTTCATTTATTGCCAGCCCTTGGGTAGATCATAAAGCAGCTATAACAGGTGTCAATATATCCACCCGACCCTAATAGTTTTGCTCTGAGTAGAAATCTGAAATCTTTGCTGAATGCTTTCAAAAAACCGGGGTGAAAATAACTTAGTCCAAGAAGGCACACCAAAATGAATAAGGAATATTTTAAGTAATTAAACCACCAGAAATATCCAATATATAATCCTACCCCATTGTCTCTGAGAAAAGGGAAAAAAGAGAAGAATACAAAGCAAGCTATCAAAAGACAAATACAGCTTTTAAAAGTTCTATCTAATTAACCCCACTGAGAAATGTTTGGCTACCCGCAGGCACTATACAGTGTAGGACAGTGGTTTCCAATCTTTTTGACACCAGGGTCTGGTTTTGCGGAAGACAATTTTTCCGCACGTGTGGCGGGATGGTTTTCATTTGGGATGAGTCAAGCGCATTACACTTACTGTCCACTTTGTTGCTAATATGATTACATTGTAATACATAATGAAATAAACAACTCACCATAATGTAGAATCAGTGAGAGCCCTGGGATTATTTTCCCGCAACTAAAATGTTCCCAACTGGGGGTGATGAGGGGCAGTGACAGACCTTAAGGCATTAGATTCTCAGAAATGGTGTGCGACCTACATCTCTCACATGCGCAGGTCACAATAGTGTTTGCCCTCCTATGATAATCTAATGCTGCTGCTGATCTGTAATGCAAGTGATGGGGAGTGGCTGTGAATAACGTCGAAGCCTCACTCACCCACCATTCACCTCCTGCTGTGCAGCCTGGTTTGTAACAGGCCACAGACTAGTATCAGTCTGTGCCCCGGTGTTGAGGATCCCTGATGAAGGGCAACTACATTGACTGATTGAGTGAGTGAGTGAGTGAGTGCAATGGCGCAATCTCAGCTTACCGCAAGCTCCACCTCCTGGGTTCTAGGAATTCTCTTGCATCAGTCTCCCAAAATAGGTGTGATTATAGGCATGTGACACCACGCGCGGTTAATCTGTACTTTTAGTAGAGATGAGGTTTCACCATGTTGGTAAGGTTGGTCTCAAACTCGTGATCTCAGTTTATTCACCCGCCTCAGCCTCCCAAAGTGCTGGGATTACGGGCCTGAGCCACAGTGTTCTTCTGACTACATTTATTACCAGTCATTTATTACCAGGGCACCTATGTTGTACAGTGCCTGGCATACACCAGGTTGTTAATTAACAGCTATTGATCTAATGCAGGACTAATAAGATAAGGTTTATTTTTTTCCCTTCAACATGCTGTGCCTGTTTCAGATGCAAATAAGACCTCAGGAGTCTGCCTGAAGTGACTTAAAATAAAAAATGTTCCCCTAGATGGGAATGTTTAGTTGCAGGAACATCAAATAGTCACTTGGATAGTGTAATAAGTTAGGTATGAATGTACCACCTGTACCAGCTTAGTGAGATGCATGTTTACATCACATAACAAACACCTGTCTGCCACGCTCAGGGCTTACAGTCTGAATTGCTGATGAGAAATAAAGTGGTATCTAGACAACCCCAGAGAATGCTTATATCCATAAGCATTAGTAGCATTTCTAAAAATTATCAAACATCCAACAAGTTCTTTAAAAACAAGATATTCTAACATGCAAGCAGTTTAGCAGTATTTTAAAAAGTGATAAACAGTGCAACTTCATTCACTTGTAATGGAGCACAAGACCCTTTGAAAGGAATTCATACCCATTCCTGCAAAAATTGTCGACTCTTGAAGGTACCACAGAACTAAGCGTTTCTTTTGTGTGTGTTTCCAAAGAGGTTTTAGCCAACCCTTTGGCCTCTAACAGACTCCCTGATTAAAATATGGCTTAGAAATTCTACCTGCCTACTTGAAAAAGCATCAAAACTAAACAATGCTTTTCAAGGGCGTGAAAAATGAAGACAAAATCACATTATTCTCTTTGCAATTTCCTTTCCCTCACTTTCCCCTTCTATTAAATATACTTCAGCATCATTGTGCACAGGTGCAGGGACCACTACATATCTAAAAAAAGGAACAACACCTTCAAATATATGGGGATGGTCTGGTAACTGCCTTTGCAGAAATCATTGTTTTCCTCCAGATGGAAGTGTCTCACTGTTTTCAGCCTTCTCATCTAACAGACAAACTTAGTTTTCACTGACTTTGAAAGGGGTAAGCTTGAGTCTAAACTCTTAAGCAAGAATGAGGGTTCAATTTTCTGATAATGAAAATCCCAGACAGGTTTTTCAACCTACCAAATCGTTACAATTTTATTCACCCTTCTCTCTCTCTCCACAACCACTAACATCACCACCCACAAAAGAAGAAGAAAATCCCTCCCATGTTCCCCAAATGTGTACTGTTGCTAGCTCCGATGCTGTTTAGAGTTTTGTAATGGAGTGTGAACTGCTGGCCCGGATCTGGGCTCGTGTTCTATCTCCTAACCAGTAAGGAGAGAGGGAGGACAAATCCGCTGAGCAGAAAAATAAATAAATAAATAAATAAATAAATAAATAAATAAATAAAAACTTTCCTCCTCATTTATAACCTCTCATGGATGCAGCGCCGACGAGGGTCGCCAGGTGCCCAGGGCGCCTGACAAGCGGCCCACTGTCCAGCGCGTTCTGCCCTGGGCCGGATCCCAGCGCCCTGCAGGTGTCCGCCCTGCCAGGAAAGGAAGCGGCCCCGCCAGGCAGTGGGATCGGGCACAGCGTCCCGTCCTCACCCTTGGCCACGGAGTGAGTGACATCCTCGATGTGCCTTCGGTTGAGAAAACGCGCCTCTTCCCAGGGAGGGCGTCGGTGACGGGAAGGACCTCCCCTGCTCCCTAGTGGGATGAGGGGAGGGGGGACCAGGCAGAGGCTGGTGCTGGGGACAGAGGAAGCGACACTAGGTTGCAGGCTGGTGTGGGAGGAAAAAAGGAAGCCCCGGAAACAGCCACAGATTTTTCCAGCTGGAGAAGCCCCCCCACCCCGCCCCTGCCTTTTTCCTGGACTCACGATGGAACCCGGCAAGGAGTCCCTTACTCGCACAAGGAAGGTGCACTCCACACTGACGGATCCCTGTAAAACACACACCCCGCCAACGGAAGAGAGAGGAACGATAAACGCCCCCATGGCAGGGCCCTGACCCTGCTCTTTCCTGGGCCTTAGGTGGTAGTCGGCCACACCAAAACTGCCAGCCAGGAAAGGGCCAGGGCGCAGGGCTGCCTGCTGCCCCCTCGACGCCAGTGTCCTCTGCCCAGGAATTTCAAATCCGCAAAGCAGGGCTCGGCAGGCGCTTCCACCAAA